CCTATGATGCCAATTACAGGCCTCTCTCATCTTTTTAAGTGGGAGAACTTGCACAATTGGTGGCTGACTAAATACTTTTTTGCCCCACTGTGTGTGTGTGTGTGTGTGTGTGTATATATATATATATCAGAATAAAGCAGGGTGCAGCGCTAAAATGATACATTAAAACACATGGACATGTTATATTCAAACATCCTCATATAAAATAACATAAACCAATACCAAGGTGCAGGTAAAAACGTCACCTGATGGTGACTAATAAGTGATTGGGCACTAGACCAAATACAGTCTATAGCGTGAATAGAAAAGATCCCAAATGATCTTCAAAAATCCAATGGCTGGATCCGTGGGTGAGGTGATGGATGTATAAAGATTGCGCACTCACCAGATACGCAATTCCAATGCGCATTTAAAGTAGATAATCTCAGGCTGTTGTGATGGCACACAACAGAAGGGAGAGGTCAGAAGTGCCATCGGGGAACCCGAGAAGAGGAGGGTCTGAGTTGCTCTGTGCAAAACCATTACGCAGAGCAGCTCCGGTGGGATCCATTTACATCTGCAGAGTGGCTATTTCCAAGTGTGGCAGCACTACCAAGCAGTGAGGGGCATTTGACCAGATCTGACCAGACCCACATAAGGATCCTTGATGTCCTGAGATTATCTACTTTAAAAGCTCATTGGGATTGCGTATCTGGTGAGTGCGCAATCTTTATCCATCCATCACCTCACCCACAGATCCAGCCATTGGATTTTTGAAGATCATTTGGGATCTTTTCTATTCACGATATAGACTGTATTTGGTCTAGTGCCCAATCACTTATTAGTCACCATTAGGTGACGTTTTTACCTGCACCTTGGTATTGGTTTATGTTATTTTATTGTATTTTATATGAGGATGTTTGAATATAACATGTCCATATGTTTTAATGTATCATTTTAGCGCTGCACCTTGCTTTATTCTGATTATTTTGGAGGTTTATATGGTGCCTTTTTGGTGTTCAGCTGCTGTTTTCTTTCTTTCAATTCATTTATAATTTTACTCTAGCGCTCACTTACCCTGTGATTTAATGTATATATATATAAAAGAGAAAAAACACTTTTTTTTTTAAACTTTGAACTTTTTTCATTTTTATAGAAAAAAAAAATAAAATTCCCAATAGTGAATAAATACCACCAAAATAAAGTTTTATCTGTCTCAAAAAAAGCTAAAAAATTCATATGGGTACAGTGTTGCATGACCGCACAAATGTCATTCAAAGTGTGATAGTGCTGAAAGCTGAAAATTGGCCTGGACAGGAAGGGGGTGAAAGTGTCCGGACTTGAAGGGGTTAAGCCGCCAGAGGTGTACACATGCCACGAATGGGAATGCTGTGCTTCGCGGTTGTGGCAGGACCCCGTTGCATTTGGCAGGCACTACCGTACATGACCTATTCAAGGGAACAGGGCCACACTGCAATCTCCCCTCAACCGTGCAGTTGTGGCAGGGCAGTGTGAAATTTGTTAGGTTAAAACAGCCGGTGAGGGGGAGACATATCGCATCCTCATCGCTTGCCAAATACCTCTAAAAAGTGATCCTAGCAATGATCACTTTTCAGAGGAACGGCAGTCCTTGCCGCTAGTGTACCTGAGTTCTGTAAATAGAAATGATAGGTGCCTCCAAAAAAGTTATATTCTGTATTTTTACAATTGTGTAGTTTCTTTTTTATTTATATTTCATTAGTGTGCAGCTGCCAGCAAGAAATTATGTTGCAGATGAGCACCCAATATTGCTCATTTATCAGCACCATAAAGTTTATTTCAAGCCAGAGCCTTTTATTTTTTAGCTTTGAATACAGCGAGTAAGTGCTAAATCACCTGTCAGGGCTTAATTGCTAACTGTGTCCCCACTAGGGAGATTTACCCTTTCTATTTGACCTGGAGACCATTGCCTGCAGTGTAGAAAGGATGGGATATCCAATATTTTACAGCTGACACAGGCGCATGGGGTGGAGGGGAAGTCCTCCAATGGGACACCTGTTCAGGTGATGACTTTCTAAGAGGGGATTCATCTTTCTTTGGAGAGATTTTTGTTTCACTTCCTGTTTTGTCTCTGGGACAAGAAATGAAAGGAAATCTCTTCTAAAAGGTTACAGATAGAGAAGAAAATACTTATAGGGGATTTTGCCATTTCCCAATTCTGTTCAAAACTAAAACAAAACGTTTTGGCTTTATATACACTTTAACCACGTGGTTGTCTCTAAAGATGCTTCTATTTGCCAATTTGTTTGTAAACTTTTAAATGCAAAGCTGCCCTTTGTATGCTTGTTTTGTCGTTCTCACAGCCATTGGTTCTCTGGTAAAACTGCAATCCTTGGACTTGAGTGACAATGCTCTGGAAATCCTTTGTCCTGACATTGGGAGACTTAAATCACTTCGCCACTTACGACTGACCAACAACCGACTGAAGTTCCTCCCACCAGGTAAACTTTACCTCTGTGTGTACACAGGCAAATGTATAGGTGAAACACAAAAATCCTCGTGGTGACTTATGGCGGCCATACATGGATCAAAATTCGGCCAGTTCAGCAAGGACCAGCTGAGATTCGATCTATGTATGGGCTTGCTGATTGTACCCAAGTCAGTCCATAGCCAAGGCAATAGCCACTAGCAGTAATCACAGTGTTCTGCCAGCCGTGTTAATGAAGGAATCGAAAATCAAGAAAATCAGTCATTTATGGGCTGCTTTATACACCTTTTTTTAATTATTTTTTTTTTGTGATACATTATTTGAAAGAAGATGTGTTGACACCTAACTTGTAAACATAACATGCATCCTTTATTATTGTTATTATTATTATTATTATACAGGATTTATATAGCGTCAACGGTTTGCTCAGCGCTTTATAGTGGGAGACAATACAGCAACAATACAGTTCAATACAAGAGGGAATTGAGGGCCCTGCTCCTCTGAGCTTACAATTAGGAGGGAGGGGTGAGTGGTACAATAGGTAAAACTGTGGGGGATGGAGTGGTTGGAAGAGTAGAGGATTCCAGTATTAGCAGAGGGCGGGATAGGCTTCCCTGAAGAGATAGGTTTTCAATGATCGCCTAAAAGTAAGTAGAGTAGGTGATAGTCTGATGGATTGGGGTAGGGAGTTCCAGAGGATGGGTGACGCCCTGGAGAAGTCTTGGAGATGAGCATGGGAGGAGGAGATAAGGGAGCTAGAGAGTAGGAGGTCTTGCGAGGAGCAGAGAGTACAGTTTGGGTGATATTTAGAGTTTAAGATCGGATATGTAAATTGGGGCAGTGTTGTGGACGGCTTTGTATGTCATAGTTAGTGTTTTGAATTTTACCCGTTGGGCAACTGGGAGCCAGTGGGGATTGGCAGAGGGGGGTGGAGGACACTGAGTGGAGGCCAGGGATTGGCAGAGAGGGGTGGCAGATACAGAACGGTTAGCGAGGTGGATGAGTCTGGTAGCAGCGTTCATGATAGAATGAAGGGGGGATAGCCTGCGATGAGGCAGGCCAGTGAGGAGGGAGCAGGGGCGGACTGACAACTCATGGGGCCCCCGGGCAATAGGGGATCATGGGACCCCAGTGTCCTCGTCCACACCCAAAAAAGCCTATGAAAAAGCTAATGGAAGGTACCAGGGGCATCTCATGGGGCCCCCTACTGACCCCGGACCCTCGGGCAGAGCCCGAGTGCTCGAATGGTCAGTCCGCCCCTGAAGGGAGTTACAATAGTCGAGGCGTGATATGACAAGGGAGGGAATAAGTTGCTTAGTGGTTTCCGGGTTAAGAATGGTCGTATCTTGGAGATGTTGCGGAGGTGAAGTCTGCATGATTTTGTCAGCGATTGGATCTGGGGCTGGAAGGACAGATGGGAGTCTAGGGTTACACCTAGTACCCTGGCATGAGGGGATGGACTAATGATCCTGGACAAAAAAGCATTCCACACGACTACTGTACCATCCAGCAGTAAACCTGTGGGGCTGAGCCATGCACTGTGTTTCAATGGATACACAGAACGCAGCTGGGGAGTGAGCCTGCATGGCTCCTATTGCCCCAACCACTGGTCTTGACACATCCCTTCTGTAGTTCTTTCTCCAGGAAGCAATGATGTCATTCAGCCTCACTTGCAGTGACGGGAGGATCAAGACTCTCAGACACATTCAACATGTGCAGGTCTAGTGTACCCGCCCACATTCACTACAATTGCCTGTGGTTGATGGGAACTGTAGTTTCCTTTTACTGCAGAGAAAGAGGAGAGGATATGATGTAATCCCGGCTGTTACACCTCCTCCTTGGCAGAGCAGATGATGTTATCTTTTGAAGTACATAGATGAGGTCATGAAAATCCAATTAGACCTTCCTCCTAAATGTTAAGGATTTTCAAAATTGTATTAATGTTGAGTGTTTTGTGTAATGGGGGGCTAAACATTACTACAACTTATTTACCGGCTTCTAATGTGTGCTAAAGTCACAGAATTAAGTGCATTCTATTTCATCATAGCAAAAAAATGTGCAATTACTCCTTCAGCATGGGTTGCACTCCCACGGATGGGTATTTAATTTCAAATTTCCAAATTTTCAAGCAAAGGGTTACTCATGGCACCTTAGATTCTGCATTTCTACTCTAACGTAGCAGACATTATCAAGCTTTTCTGGGTTTTAGGATTTTCTGTAAGCAGATGCTCCCTTGCAATATGGAATATTTTCCTATGTGGTGTTCATTTGAAGCTTTCTGGAGAGATTCATTGATACGTTTGGCCCAGGTATGTGATTTTGACACTTAATTTGTTTTACCGTTGCAGAAATTGGAAAGCTGAAAGAACTTCAGACTTTAGACCTCTCCACAAATCACCTTGTCACTTTACCGGAGAAGTTGCACTTGTGCCAGTCACTGCAGTACCTGACCGTAGATAGGAACTTCCTGTGCAGCATTCCACGCCACCTGTGCCAGCTAGCCAGTCTTAATGAGCTTTCCATGGCTGGCAACCGGCTGGCATCCCTGCCTTTGGGTGAGTAGAGAATGGGATTGGCGTTGGTTTGGTTTATGTGTCAATATTCACTGTGTTTGATATACCTGTATAAGTAATGTACGTTGGTGTCTAAAGCGGCGCTCCACCCAAAAGGGGAAGTTCCACTTTAAAGATTGGTCCCCCCGCTCCCCATTAAGGATTGGCACCTTTGGGGAGCGGGGGGGAACGGGTACTCGAATTTGACAGGTACCTGCTCCCACTTCCGCTGCGATCACCTAGGCCAGTGGTCGGCAAGCCGCGGCTCGCGAGCCACATGCGGCTCTTTACAACTTAAATGCGGCTCTTCTGTGTGCCGGGCGCTCCGCTCCCCTCCCTCCTCTCGGGCGGCAGCCCCAAAAAGTCACGACTCTGCAGCTGTCAGGATGTAGGCGGGGCAGCCAGGATGTAGGCGGGGCAGCGTGACGAACTCCTCTCCTCTCACAGTCCGCCCTGAAGACCAGAACGGCGCGGGAACACAGCGAGAAGAACGCGCGGAGCAAAGGTAAGTGAATTGACACAATATGGGGAATGAATTACTACATGGGGATGAATTACTATGGGGGGATGAATTACTATAGGGGGGATGAATTACTATAGGGGGGTGAATTACTATATGGGGGATGAATTACTATATGGGGGATTAATTACTATGGGGATGAATTACTATATGGGGGATGAATTACTATGGGGGATGAATTACTATATGGGGGATGAATTACTATATGGGGGATGTATTACTATGGGGGATGAATTACTATATGGGGGATGAATTACTATATGGGGGATGAATTACTATGGGGATGAATTACTATATGGGGGATGAATTACTATATGGGGGATGTATTTTCAGTTTTAAAAATGTGGCTCTCAAAATAAATTTCAATCGTGGTTTTGGCGATATTTGGCTCAGTTGAAAAAAAAGGTTGCCCACCACTGACCTAGGCGATCGTAAACAGAAGTTGTCCTCCTACCCTCCCTCCTCGAAGTTTTGTGGGACACATGACAGGTCCCAGAAGACGACGGGGCCATTCATGAAGTGCAGCGTTACTCGCACATGTGTTTTGGGTGCCCGGCTGTGAAGCCACAAGCTGTCACAGCCGGGTGCCCACACTGAAGATGCTGGCGCCTGGAATACAGGAAGGCCGGTGAAACGGGCTGCGGCAGGGCAACGCGGGATCTTGGGACAGGTAAGTGGCTGTTTTTTAAAGGTCAGCAGCTACAGTTTTTGTAGCTGCTGACTTTTATTTTTTTACAGAGTGAGTGGAACTCGGCTTTAATAAGTGCCATGCTTCATTTGTGAAAGAAACTCAGCCAGCAGATTACTTAAGCTGGCCATGCACATGTAGTTTTTCGGATGAGAATATTCGTAAGACGTCATACAAAAATTCTTTGAACATTTGATGAATGGACAAATGTCAGAAAATTGTCTTTTTGCTTTTCACATTAGACTTTACAATGAATGTCATTTCTGAACGATAATCACATATACTAGCTGAAAATTCATTTGATCGAAAAAACTTTTCCTTCTTGCTCCTTCGAATTTTCCCATCACTGCTGTCGAAAATGAACATTGGTTTGACCCCAATAACGTTAAGAAAATCAAACGAATATTCTTGAAACGAAAATTCTAGAACGAAAATCTATATGTGTATTATTATTATACAGTATTTATAAAGCGCCAATAGTTCGCTCAGCGCTGTACATTACAAAGGGGGACAGAACATGTGACAGAACAATACCAATACAATGCAAAACATGAGGGGATCGAGGGCCCTGCTCTTTCGAGCTTACAATCTAGAAGATGGCCAGCTTTAGTGTCCCCTTAAACCTGCAGAGAATGCATCATGCAGTATACCTGACAGCCAGCTCAAACTGAACACAGGCACAACCAAAGTACACAAAACCATATGTACATAAATATTCACAGCCTTTGCCATTACAATTCAGTTTTTTCCTAAACATTCTACAAACAATACCCCATAATGACAAAGTTCGCTTTGAAATCTTTGCAATTTATTAAAAATAAAAAAACGATAAAACCCCCATGTACATCAGTATTCACAGCCTTTGCCATGACACTCAAAATTGAGCTCTGGTGCCTCCTGTTCCCACTAATCATCCTTGAGATGTTTTCACAACTTGATTGGAGTCCACCTGTGGGAAACTCAGTTGATTGGACATGATTAGGAAAGGCAAGAACCTGTTTATATAAGGTCCCACAGTTACCAGTGCATGTCAGAGCACAAACCAAGCCATGAAGTCTAAGGAATTGTCCGTAGACTTCCGAGACAGGATTGTATCAAGGCACAGATATGGGGAAGGGTGCAGAGAAATTTCTGCAGCATGGAAGGTCCCTATGAGCACAGTGGCCTCCATCATCCGTAAATGGAAGAAGTTTGGAACCACCAGGAATCTTCCTAGAGCGGGCTGCCTGGCCAAAATGAGCAATCGAGGGAGAAGGGCCTTAGCCAGGGAGGTAACCAAGCACCCGATGGTCACTCTGAAAGAGCTTCAGCTTTTCTGTGTGGAGAGAGGAGAACCTTCCAGAAGAACAACCATCTCTGCAGCACTCCACCAATCAGGCCTTTATGGTAGAGTGGCCAGACGGAAGCCACTCCTCAGTAAAAGGCAAATGGCAGCCCGTCTGGAGTTTGCCAAAAGGCACCTGAGGAACTTTCAGACCATGAGAAACAAAACTCTCTGGTCTTATGAAACAAAGATTGTACTCTTTGGCCTGAATGCCAAGCGTCATGTCTGGAGGAAACCAGGCACCGTTCACCACCTGGCCAATACCATTCCTACAGTGAAGCATGGTGGTGGCAGCATCATGCTGTGGGGAGGTTTTTCAGCTGCAGGAACTGGGAGACTAGTCAGGATCGAAGGAAAGATGAATGCAGCAATGTACAGAGACATCCTTGATGAAAACCCGTTCCAGAGAGCTCTGGACCTTAGACTGGGGCAACGGTTGATCTTTCCACAGGACAAAGACCCTAAGCACACAGCCCACATAACAAAGGAGTGGCTATGGGCCAACTCTATGAATGTCCTGGAGTGGCCCAGCCAGAGCCCAGACTTGAACCCGATTGAACATCTCTGGAGAAATCTGAAAATGGCTGTCCACCGACGCTCCCCATCCAACCTGATGGAGCTTGAGAGGCACTGCAAAAAAGAATGGGAGAAATTGCCCAAAAATAGGTGTGCCAAGCTCGTAGCATCATACTCCAAACGACTAATTGGTGCTAAAGGAGCTTCAACAAAGTATTGAGCAAAGGCTGTGAATATTTATGTACATGTGTTTTTTTTTCATTTTTGTTTTTAAGAAATTGCAAAGATTTCAAAATGAACTTCTTTCACATTGTCATTATGGGGTATTGTTTGTAGAATGTTGAGGAAAAAAATTAATTTAATCCATTTTGGAATAAAGCTGTAACCTAACAAAATGTGGCAAAAGTTAAGTGCTGGGAATACTTTCTGGATGCACTGTAAGTCTTTGTGGGATGTGGATGACCTGGGGGATCTTGGTTGGTGGGATTGCCATCCAGCTAGGAATATCATGGTCTTTTAGACTCTGCATGTCTCAATAAAGAAAGCCTGTCACCTAAAAATTATCCCATAGGGGACTTGGTGTAAAAACAGTTTTGTTTTTTTAAATTGCAAAAACATAAAGTTACACCCAAGCACATAATAGCTCCCCCTTGTTTGTGCCGATATGAACATAAATGCGCACAGCAGGGCACCTACGTGTGAAAATGTTGATTGCAGTACAGATGTTACAGATCGCAGCACACGCCAGAGTGAAAGTATAATTCTAGCTCAAGACTTCCGTAATACTAAACTGATGACCTATAGGGGCTTTTGAATCGTTGCCTATAGAAAATATAGATTACTGAAGTTTGTTTCCATTTCATAGGCGCATACAAATTTAAGGCATGTTGGGTATATATTTACTGGGTACAACCTCGTCTTTTATATTTGACCAAAAATTTGGGGGTAATTTATTGCGTTTGTTTGCCCTAAAATTCACTTTTTTGTGTTTACTGACATTTTGCGTTTCCTAGACCTTTGTGGTAATATCATGTGACATAAAAATTGGAACTATCACTGTTTTATTCTCTGAAAGTGAAACTGCTTTCAGAAAATATATAATGACAGGGGGTTTGTGCAATCTTCAGGCCTAAAATGATTATTTAAACATGTATGCAAAAATGGCTCTGGCAGCAAAAGGGTTAAAGGGTACCTCCCACTTTTGTGGGTAAAAAAAAATTGACCAATAAAAAAAACCCAAAAATTTTGCATATACAATTGTGACAAAAGTCATTGTTATGGACCACCTGGTGTACTCTAGCAGTCCACAGGACAGGATTCCCCAGGGTGCGGAGTCTAAGCCCCAGTCCGCTTGTTCACCAGAGCCCCTGATGGTGGGGATGGGCTTGGAGCGGACAGTAACCAGGTCGCGGCCCCTGAGTACACCCACCTGAGGTAGAGGAATCACCAGAGATAATGACAGGTAGAGAGCCTGACATGAAGAGGCAGGCAGGTCTGGAGAGTAGCAGCTAATCCGTGCGGGTCGGATGGATGGCTGAGCAATAGCGTGGTCAAACGGGCCAGGTCGGTAACAGAGGGGTCAGCGTAGTACAAGGCAGCAGGCAGAAGAATAGTCAGGTCACTCGCCGGGGTCGGTACCAGTAGTTCAGATCAGGTAGGGATATCCAAAAGAGAGGTCGAACTTAGCCAGGGGTCAGAGCAGGAGAAGTCAGCAGGGGTCAGGTCCAGGCAGGTCAGCAACGAATCTCAAACAACAGCAATACAGGAACAAGATCAGACCATACAGCAACTTGTGTTTAAGTAGCCCGCCCTGCACCTGACAGGCGCAGCCTAGGTCCTAGTGCCTGCCCAGCACCATCATAGGCAACGGGTGCGCCTGGGTCCTAGTGCCCTGCTGCCCGCATGTCTTGACAGACACCTACGCATGTGCAGACCCATGCGTCGCGATGGTCCCT